GTTTAGATTAGACAGCTACTTCCAATAAAACATTCAAAAAATATAATAAAATAAATATTTTAACTAATTTAAAACACATACACAAGATACAGATAAATTAATAAATGTCTGTGTGAAATAACTCAATATTTTGATATTGTAAGTAATAGAATTTTAAGCAACAATAAGAGCGAACAGTATATAACTCACATATAACCCCGTCAATGTTGTAGCCGAATAATTTCCAGAGATACGTCCTCTTGTATTTATTATGTACGCAGATCGTACCACAAAGGAATAGTAGGTTTAACAATATTACGAGTAGCACGTTCATATTAAAGGCGACTATCTCGAATGGATGTAACGCTGTGATTAAGTTGCGATGCAAAAATCCACAAAGAAACCAGTTTGTGGAGTAGTTATAAGGAAAACAAATATATCGTCAATACGTGCTCTTGCGTAGAGCTCAGCGGTGGTTCACTGACACTTCCTACTGTAGGCGATAGAACATGTGTGTATATTTTATTGTTAGACTAGTGATAGACATAATAGACATAATAGGGATGAGTTTAACTGAGAAAAGTTAGTTGCACTGGGGCAGAATTTCTACTGTAACTGTACTGAGAGTGGCTTAAGATGATTGCATACGTCCTGTATCTCATTCGTTCATTGATCGTACAGAAATAGTACCTGGGTTTTAAGGTTATGAAGCCCATATTGATTTGTTGGTAGATAAATACTGTATCAAAAGACCGTATAGGTGCTCTATCGAAGATATGAAAGAAATTGAACACCAAGTATCGAACTTACTAAAACATAATTTAATTGAGGAATCATATAGTAGCCCGTTTGCCGCTCCGATAACACTAGCATTTAAAAAAGAAGAAGGAAGGAGATCAAGGCTTTGTATAGATTTTCGTGAATTAAATAAAATTATAGTTCCCCAATCGCAACCATTCCCACTTATCGAAGATTTAATGGTAAAAACAAGGAAATGCAAATTTTATTCAACATTTGACATAAATTCAGCGTTCTGGTCCNAGTTTTTTCCCTGCCAATTTTTTTTTGACAAAAACACTAAGTATCATTTCAATTTGAATAAAATATGTCACGTAATTTTTAAAGAAATATTTTTATAAATAAATGCCTATTAGATAAACCAGTCAATGAAACATTTTATTTTGTTACTTATTTATGTCTTAATGATACAAATTATTTTATATTGACACATAGTTATTACAATTTAACATGTTACACCCGTGTGAAACACACGAGGATTGTTTCAAGTTCACGACATCGTCCACACTAGTGTAGTTAGCCGACCGCCCATTTTATTAAGACTATTATATATACAGTACGCACACTAATAATGCTGATGTCATCAAAATCTCATAAAAGAGTTTAAAAAAATTTATGTGCGGAATTTTTCAACGGGCCGGATAAAATTAGCAAAAGGGCCGGATCCGGCCCGCGGGCCGGCTTTTGCCCACCCCTGCTTTAGAGGGTATTTCAGCTTCGCCCTAACATGTGTGCTCACGGGGCTCAAGCCGGAGTGTTGCTAACACTGGCCCTAGCAAGATCAGTGCTTCGCAAAATCTACCACCGGATCGGAAACGCGACCCACTGAAAAGATCCGGCGAGAAACTCAGTGGGCTGTGTCTATGGGATAATTCTCTCGTCGAGCCCTTCGTCGCAAGCGACGGGTTCGACGAGGATTGTGATCGGTGCTTGTGGTACCTAAAAGCACCGTTAATGGATTGGGAGGATCCGTAATGACGTGTTTTGGGTGACGTTGACTATTTATCATTCGGTGTATAGGATCGGGTATGTAATTTGCAGCGGCCACGACAAAAGTGTCCTCATATCGTGCCGCTTTCTCAAAGTGGCGCAATGATGCCGACTGTAGATATTTACTGACTGAGTCAAACTCCAGGTCATCATGGAGATAGTTTTTTGTGTTTATTATAACGAATGTACTACATTACTTTACTTTAATCCGAGAATTTGGGTGGAAAATTAAATGTTCTCGGATTAAAAATGTTTTGGAAAATTGTTTACAGTTCTAAATTGTTTTGTGTAATCCGTGGAGATAGATGAGTACAATAATAATAAATTTTTTATTTAGTTTCGATTGATTGAACATTTCCAGGATCGGTTTGTAGCAAAAATAGGGATAATTGTCGTCGCAATAAGCATAGTAATTACTAATTCTACTAATGTAAATAGGAATAGTTGTCGTTTCAATCGTTTTGGTTCACAGTTGGTGGTGGGACGCATTGTGAGCTCGCACGGGAAGAACCACCACCCTATCTATTTGTACCGTGAAACAGTAATGCTTTTCATTTCGAATATAGTCGGTTGTACAGTAACAGAGGACGTTGCTAACCATCCCTAGAAAGAGCAGTGCTTCGCAGAATCTACCACCGGATCGGAAACGCGATCCACTGAGAAGATCCGCCGAAAAAATCAGTTGGCTGTGTGTATAGGTTTAATTTACTCGTCGAGCCCTTCGTCGTAAGCGACGGGTTCGGCGAGGAGGGTGACCGGTGCTTGAGGCACCTAAAAGCACCGCTAATGGATCAGGAAGATCCGTAATGACGTGTACCTTTAAATGGTAACCGTCCAAATACGTCTGAAATACGTTGCTTATGTTATGTTATGTTTTACGAGCAACCCGAATCGCTTTTGGGCGGCCTCTGTTAGGAACTGGGAGATGTTTCTTCAACTGATAAATCTGATTTTTGTGTCTGCTCTTTCACAATTTGAATGGCTTGGTAAGGAGTTGAATATTTTGGGTTTCTAAATTTTGAATTCGAATACAATTTTCAGTTAAAGCTAATACCTCAAGATGCTTGGTTAGTGTTAATTAGTGGAGTTCATGGATTTCATACACCGTGAGCGTCATCTTAAGTTGCATTGTTCTTTTTCCAATGCGACTCAATTTCTTTGCGAAAAACACTTTATGACCCATCAACTTAAAACATGGGGAGTTTCTTTGTCTTTGGACGAGTCCAGTACCACTACTACGTCCATCTTCGAACGAGGCTTGTGAGTAGTACTTAGCTTGACTGTGCCTCTGACATAGCTGACGTTTATGAGCAACGGTAATCACTTGCCATCAAATGTGGTATATCCTCACCATCCGCAGAAGGCCATAAAAACATATGAAGCTTTATAAAATTCGGAAAAATCACTTTTAAAACTAACAAAGTTTTGTAATTACTATCGATAATTGTTAAAATCATAAAATGAANGCTTGTGAGGAGTACTTAGCTTGACTGTGCCTCTGACATAGCTGACGTTTATGAGCAACGGTAATCACTTGCCATCAAATGTGGTATATCCTCACCATCCGCAGAAGGCCATAAAAACATATGAAGCTTTATAAAATTCGGAAAAATCACTTTTAAAACTAACAAAGTTTTGTAATTACTATCGATAATTGTTAAAATCATAAAATGAAAAAAAAACTTAAACTGAATGAATAGTTTTTATTTTAGATTTAAATTTTGAAGAATTTATAATCGTGATAACAGATAATATAGAAACAATTCATATGATTTTTGACACATTCAGGTAAAAAAATTATAAGTATTGAATTTGAAAAAAGTGGCAAAAATTGTCGTGTTTAATTTTGATTTTACCTATTTTATTTTATTTATTTTATTTTATTTTATTAAGAAGACAAACAGTGAACTTAAACTATATAAACTTAACCTTACAACTAAACACCATTTAAATGTCTCCGCATATATTGGCATATAACTACATTTTAGTTTAACACCTTCTCAATTTCTTCATCAGTCATGTATAAATACTCTGGAGCTACACTCAGTTGACCACCAGCGATTTTCCAAGCGGTCCCGGACTCGGCATTCTTGAATATGTGTACGGCTGCTTTGCCGACAGCATCGGGTTCCTGCCAAACGTCATCCTTGGTTACCTTTTTTAAATCTTCCAACTGATCATCCTAAACCATTTGCTTTGCAGTCATCGCAGTGTAAGTCAGTTCTGGACATAGAGCCACAATCCTAATCCCTGTCCTTTTGAAGTTGTATGGGTGTCCTAATGACTTGGAGAAAGCGAGACTCGCGTGCTTTGATGAGATGTAGGAAACCATAAACGGAGTTATTCTGTAACCTGACCTGGACGCGGTATTTATAATAGTTCCACCAGAACCACCTTTGTCGTTTCTCGCGTATTCTCTGAATTTTAGTGACCATTCAATCGGTGCAACGCTGTTGGTCAATATCATTTCTCTTGGTTGGTCTTCTTCAAGTATTCCAGCATTGTTGACTAGCACATGTATCGGCCCATGCTCGTCAACTATATCATCCCACAGATGAAGATCTTTGGTAACATCGCATGGTATAAAAATAACCTTATCTCTTCCATATTTACATTTCAGAGTTTCAGCTGCTCTTATTCCGTTAGTCACATTTTTATCTAAGATTATAATTTGATTGACTCCATTAGCTAGGAAGTTATCAGCTATAGCGTATCCTATACCTCTAGCTGCCCCGGTTACGATGATATTTTTACCTTTTAGATCCTTGTCAATGATTGAATTGGCCCTAGCCGAAAGTATTACTAGGCAAACTAGAAACTTTAACTCTATAGCCATAACTGTTGTGGTATAAAATTTTTATTCGATTGGCTTTTTATTTATGAAGCATAAATATATATTGTGTGTAGAGAGACAGGTGTTTTGCAATAAATAAAAGTTAGGATGGGGTCTGAGACACTGTGTACTGAAGCGGGACGTGTAGAGTTTTGGCACAGATCCTAAATAATTTTGCTCTATCAATAATTACAGATTTACCATAAAAGTAAGTAAGACTTAACCATAACAGTAGCCATAAAAGTAAATAGGTCAACCTTTTTTTGAGGCCGCTTTAGCCGATATTAACATATTTTACCAAAAAGCGCTTATGCTCTATCTGGTAAGCTATGCTTTTGAAATTATGACAACTCATATTACATGCTATGTAAATGTATATTATGAGAGTAATATACTATGACTACATACCTGGGGAGTTTTCTGATTACGTGACTTATTAAAACTGGTTTTGTTGTAGATTTTTAAGAGTATTAAGTAATTTAAAAGTTATGATAATTCGTTTCTACTTTATTTAAGGGATTATGTAATCTGGTGATCTCATAAGAGCAATTAACTCACACGTATAGAAATAAAGCTGTTATATACTCCGGTCACCATCCTGGTCGAACCAGTCGATTGCAATGAAGGGCTCGACGAGCGTATTAACCCATAGATACAGCGCACTGAGTTTCTCGCCGGATCTGGCCCAGAGGTATACTCCCGGCCCATCTGAAAGCGATTATTCGCCGGAAGAGGGGCCTGAGGAGGCTCTGGGCGACAACTCGTTGTCCCAGGATCAAGCGCGAGCTTAATGAGCTGGANGCAGTGTAAGTCAGTTCTGGACATAGAGCCACAATCCTAATCCCTGTCCTTTTGAAGTTGTATGGGTGTCCTAATGACTTGGAGAAAGCGAGACTCGCGTGCTTTGATGAGATGTAGGAAACCATAAACGGAGTTATTCTGTAACCTGACCTGGACGCGGTATTTATAATAGTTCCACCAGAACCACCTTTGTCGTTTCTCGCGTATTCTCTGAATTTTAATGACCATTCAATCGGTGCAACGCTGTTGGTCAATATCATTTCTCTTGGTTGGTCTTCTTCAAGTATTCCAGCATTGTTGACTAGCACATGTATCGGCCCATGCTCGTCAACTATATCATCCCACAGATGAAGATCTTTGGTAACATCGCATGGTATAAAAATAACCTTATCTCTTCCATATTTACATTTCAGAGTTTCAGCTGCTCTTATTCCGTTAGTCACATTTTTATCTAAGATTATAATTTGATTGACTCCATTAGCTAGGAAGTTATCAGCTATAGCGTATCCTATACCTCTAGCTGCCCCGGTTACGATGATATTTTTACCTTTTAGATCCTTGTCAATGATTGAATTGGCCCTAGCCGAAAGTATTACTAGGCAAACTAGAAACTTTAACTCTATAGCCATAACTGTTGTGGTATAAAATTTTTATTCGATTGGCTTTTTATTTATGAAGCATAAATATATATTGTGTGTAGAGAGACAGGTGTTTTGCAATAAATAAAAGTTAGGATGGGGTCTGAGACACTGTGTACTGAAGCGGGACGTGTAGAGTTTTGGCACAGATCCTAAATAATTTTGCTCTATCAATAATTACAGATTTACCATAAAAGTAAGTAAGACTTAACCATAACAGTAGCCATAAAAGTAAATAGGTCAACCTTTTTTTGAGGCCGCTTTAGCCGATATTAACATATTTTACCAAAAAGCGCTTATGCTCTATCTGGTAAGCTATGCTTTTGAAATTATGACAACTCATATTACATGCTATATAAATGTATATTATGAGAGTAATATACTATGACTACATACCTGGGGAGTTTTCTGATTACGTGACTTATTAAAACTGGTTTTGTTGTAGATTTTTAAGAGTATTAAGTAATTTAAAAGTTATGATAATTCGTTTCTACTTTATTTAAGGGATTATGTAATCTGGTGATCTCATAAGAGCAATTAACTCACACGTATAGAAATAAAGCTGTTATATACTCCGGTCACCATCCTGGTCGAACCAGTCGATTGCAATGAAGGGCTCGACGAGCGTATTAACCCATAGATACAGCGCACTGAGTTTCTCGCCGGATCTTCTCAGTGGGTCGCGTTTCCGGTCCGGTGGTAGATTCTGCGAAGCACTGCTCTTGCTAGGGCCAGTGTTTGCAACGCTCCGATTTAAACCCCGTGGGCTCACCGACATGTTAGGGCGAAGCTGAAATAGCCTCCCAAGGCTATCAGCATAGGTAGGATAAAAAAAAAGTTAAATAGTCTTTGTTTAAAATTATATTATTTGATTCGCTAATCGCTGACAGCTGCAACCCGACTTACAGCGAATAAATGCATTTTTGTTTCTTAATTATCAGTATTAAAATGTTAGTTGTAACTTGTAAGCGCGAAAACAATATATAAAAATATCTACACGTTGTTTATATATTATTAAATGGAATGTGGCCATAAAGGACTAACTAAACTAGATGACGATCGTAAGATGGGAGGGAAGTTGCTAAGTGTTTCATGGCTTTGGTATACCACGCTTGAGATGGCTTAGTATTAAAAAAATTCACTTTCATTCGTCCATATGAGCTTACGGCCGACCTTGTGTTTTTTTTTATTGCTTAGATGGGTGGACGAACTCACAGCCCACCTGGTGGTAAGTGGTTACTGGAGCCCATAGACATTTAGAACGTAAATGCGCCACTCACCTTGAGATATGTTCACGATTGACTTCCACGGCGAAGGAATAACATCGTGTAATAAAAATCAAACCCGCAAAATTATAATTTGCGTAACCACTGGCGGTAGGACCTCTTGGGAGTCCGCATGGGTAGGTACCACCACACCGCCTTTTTCCGCCGTAAAGCAGTAATGCGGGGTAGCCGTTGTAAATAAACTGAGACCTTAGAACTTATATCTCGAGGTGGGTGGCGCATTTACGTTGTAGATGTCTATGGGCTCCAGTAACCTAACACTTAACACCAGGTGGACAAAGATATCAGTTCTTAGTTTCAGCTTTCAAAATACATCAGCTGCCTCACCATTTAAAACCGAAACGCATTACTGCTTTAGGGTAAAAATAGGCAGGGCGCTACTCGAGTCCACGTTTGGGCGGTAATTTCAGAGCCGCACGGTTCAACTGTGATGCGCTGATGCATCGCTTGGTCTGATGCTTAAAATGACGCGGGTCTTTGATTAAAGTTTGAATGCGTATGCGTGGCTCGATTCTCGCATCGTAGATAACGTACTCCCTTTTATTTATATTTATAATAATAATAATAATAATGTTTTTATTTCAAGTATCCATGACTCATATAAATTGTTAATAAGACTTAGACCTATGTTAGTAGTTATATTTACATCACAATGAATTACTGTGGTAACATCCCATGGGAGATGGCACCACAGCGACCCATGTATATACAGTCCAGCCTGCTTGCGATCATGCTCAGGATACTGTTNTTGGGAGTCCGCATGGGTAGGTACCACCACACCGCCTTTTTCCGCCGTAAAGCAGTAATGCGGGGTAGCCGTTGTAAATAAACTGAGACCTTAGAACTTATATCTCGAGGTGGGTGGCGCATTTACGTTGTAGATGTCTATGGGCTCCAGTAACCTAACACTTAACACCAGGTGGACAAAGATATCAGTTCTTAGTTTCAGCTTTCAAAATACATCAGCTGCCTCACCATTTAAAACCGAAACGCATTACTGCTTTAGGGTAAAAATAGGCAGGGCGCTACTCGAGTCCACGTTTGGGCGGTAATTTCAGAGCCGCACGGTTCAACTGTGATGCGCTGATGCATCGCTTGGTCTGATGCTTAAAATGACGCGGGTCTTTGATTAAAGTTTGAATGCGTATGCGTGGCTCGATTCTCGCATCGTAGATAACGTACTCCCTTTTATTTATATTTATAGCGCCTTGTTCGTTTTGTTTCTAAGCCTTGAATATTAAGTACTGTAACAAGTTGACACACAGTTAAAAACTATGCTCTCTATTCACTCTATCTCTAAATATTAGCTAGTATTCTAATTTCAATTCAAGCTATCTAATTTTGATTTTTCAATTCTAGTATTCGACTCAATTTCAATCATTTTAACTAAATTTCTCGGCTACTCTTTTAAGATTGTCTAAGAATTTCGTATATTACAATTCTTCAACTACATTTCAATACAATGAGTTAATTTGGTTTTCAACGGAACAAAGTTTTTCGCAGAAGATAGAACTCTAGAATGTTGTTGTTCATAAATCTAGGTATGCAATCATAATGCCTCCTAATTGAAGTTTGCCTTGTCATATATCGAAAATTTGATTACTAATTTTTACCTGTAAATATGTTGTAATCATCACCCTATTTATTATCTAGGTATTGAATATTTAACTTGTATCCTTGTTCTCTTTACTGCGGCTTAAAAAGGTTTTAGAGCGGCTCGTACATTGTCCAATCGCATGATATTATTTATAATAATATAGTATTTTCGCATTCAAAGTGTACAATTTCCAAAAATATTCGAAATTGAGTTCATATGCGGAATCATTTGGTATCACCAGTATTTTTCTAATAAATACTGTCAAATTTTATTTTTTATTTATTTAATTAACTTCAGATTTTACATCCATATTACACGTCTTCATTACATTGCATTAACATTTCATTTATAATAAAATTAAATAAAAATAATAACTAATCTCGGAGTAAAACAAAAACAATAATAATAATAATAAAACAAAAAAATCAAATAATAATAATAATAACAATAAAACAAAAACTCTAAATTAACATGAAAACTACCTTATCCTAAAGGCTGGTTGGGATCCAGAGTGCTCAACATGCACACGTGTCCAGTGTTGCATTATTGGGCAGTCCAGATCCATCCGTGAGGCGAACAGCCGTAGGTAGCGGTTGCGACTGACCCGCACACGGCGAATTAGGGAAGCAATTCGCTTACGAATGATTGCTGCGAAGCTATCTATTCGCGCATCCGCAAACATCCCCGACGCACCGCAGTGACGCGGCAGCCACATCAGCGCTCTGAAAGCGTTATTATACTGGACACGCAGGGTGTTGTAGGATTTCTTGGTATACTTAACCCATAGGCTGCACGTGTAGAAAGACTGGCAGTATGCTCTAAAAAGAGTAGCTTTCACCTCTGCAGTACACCGCGCGAACCTACGGGCCAGCATATTACCCCTGATTGACAACGCCCTGCGCTCCCTGTCCATGTCTACATCATCTGCAAGCGTCTCAGTGACCCAGTGACCCAGATACTTGAATTGCGATATTTGTTTAAGGACACTGCCGTTGAGTATGACTGATGGGACAGCTTCGTAGGTTTTTCTGCCTGATTTAAATACCATCAGTTCGCTTTTAACGGCATTATATGAGTCGACTATTATCAAAGCCGGCAATCTGACTTTTGGATAATTATTTGTAAATCAGAAAAACGAATTATTGACTTTGTATTCCATTGGCAGTCACAAAACTCTTCGGCACGACATCTTAGATAAATAACAGGTTAACTATTAACCTTTATTTAATGCGGGTTTTGAACCGTATTCTTTGAAGGAGACGATTATATTCAAATCAATCTGTATTGACATATCAATAAAATATTTTTTTCCAAATGCACAGATTGCCACCTTTGATAATAGACGACTCATATCTGAGCCCATGTTCCTCCGCATAACGCTCGCATATCCTAATCAGCTTTCTGAGAGCCCTGATCGATGGGCTCAGCAACACCATGTCGTCTGCATAACTGATATTATTAACACACACACCATCAATGGAACATCCGACACTGGAATTGCTGAGCCCACGAATCAGGCGGTCAATGTATAGATTAAAAAGGCTCTGATGTCAAAAGAGCGTAGCTTTTTTTTAGTTTTTATTTTAGTTTCCCTATGATTTGACTACTATTAACAAAATTAATACATAATTTTATCTTACTTTGTAAGACAGGTAATGTAACTGGTACAAAATAAAAAAAATAGTGTTGCAAAGATGATTAATATTTAAAATATCACATGTTAAACCTTTGAAACACTCTCCTGTAAAATTAGTAAGTTTTGAGAATATACAGTTTTAATGCGAGAAGACGATATGTCATTATAACAATATAAGTGAGTGTTTAAGCTTGATGGCTTTGTGATGAGGATATGGCATGTCTTTAATGGGACCACATAAATATGATATGGATTCTTTTTTGTGTTTATTATAACGAATGTACCACATTACTTTTCTTTAATCCGAGAATTTGGGAGGAAAATTAAATGTTCTTGGATTAAACATGTTTTGGGACAATGTTTACAGTTCGAAATTTCTTTTTGTAGTCCGTGAAGATAGAAAAGTCTAGTAATAATTGTTATTTTTTGTTTTTAATTTGTTTGAAATTTTCCAGGAACGATTTGTTGCAAA